CTCATTCATCTATTAATGTTATTTAACTCTCTCATTCGTCTATTAATGTTATTTAACTCTCTCATTCGTCTATTAATGTTATTTAACTCTCTCATTCGTCTATTAATGTTATTTATCTCTCGTTGTCTCTCGACACCTACATGCGTATACATAAATAAAATCTCAAATATGACAGTGGATTTATCTGTTTATGAATTTTTACTTTAAATATATATATATATAAAATCTAACAGAGCGATCGAAGCCAACTCATGTGGATTAGCAGAGGGAATCATTAGCGTTCTCCATTTCCATTTCTTGTTGTTGATCATTTGGTTTTATTTGTTTTGTTTCTCGTTAAACACAATGGGTTATCTGTGCTGTACCAACCAGTGTTGTGTGTGAAGAATATTTCACCCCTGATAGTTTCAGTATGGGTTGAATATATGGGTCTATAACTTCGACAATATTGAACGTGTAGAATGGGCAGTGGCAATCCGTTTTAAGCATTCCCCCCACCCCTGTCTCTACCTGATCAAGAGGAAGAAAAAGGTATTTTATACTGATATCATTATAAAATTATTTGATGTGCACGTGTACAACTACTTTAATCTACAGGCCTACTCACGACCATAACTTCGTTTTATTACAGTGAAAATAAACAAAACATGTGCTAGATATATTTCTTCAATTAATGTGACAGACGTATTGTAGTGCTACCTCGCGGTAATTAAGCAACAGCGGAATATTTTCTTCATTGATGTTTTTCATACAGCACTGCTTCTACGTAGAGGAATGGGTAAGTAGGCTATCAACGTTTGTACGTCACGAGTTAGAACGCCACCTAACATATTTTTGTTCCCCATGTAACGCGCGATAGTAAATAGTCCCACATTTATCATGTCGTTTTATGGTTATTATTGCGTAATTATGTTCTTTAACCAAACATATTATTACGCATACAAAATAGTTTTACATACAGTAAGGATATATCAGAAGCGAAGTTCTTGAAAATCAATATATTGGCTTACTTCCTGCAATAAAGCCTATATCAAGACTAACATTTCAAATGCTAATAACATGTACTTCATTTCAGATGTGAATTAACATATTTATTATATAATTTGCACTTTACCGAACTACACATTGAATAGTCGATGGATGGTCGGACGGTCAGACAAACAGAGATAGTGCTTGGAAAGTTTGAAGATATTACTAACGGAAACAAAGTATCCTAAGCCTTACTTACGACGTAAAAAACTGCTGCTTCTGAAGAGAAGCACGTGACCAATACACGGACATACTGACAGTAAGAAGCTGTGTTAGAGCGTATTTTCTAGTATTCAAATCATACACCGGTTTGCATTTATTTGAAATTAAATTTATTAAAGAAATAGCATAATTTTTATTTGAAAGTAAACGAGTATTACATTATCTTTATTTACCATATCCTTTGATAATAATGTCAAGAAACTATTTTGTAAATAACTGAACTGAAAGTATGTAATGAAAAAATACCTGTGCTATTTTGTTTACTAACCTGTTTATTTAACTTAATTATATTTCAACTTTGAGTTGATATCCAATAAAACACCAATGGTAGTAGTGTAGATAAACATGAAACACAAACATAAAAGTGTATTCATCGTGAATTTAATAAAGAACTTTCAAAAGACACAACCACATTTAAATGCTTAACATAAATATTTGACAATTTTTAATAGAATTAAACATTCAAAAGAAATACGCAACTAATTTTGGCAATTGTTTCCAGCTATATTTTAATTTTACGAACTTCTCCGTGCCTTGTCTATTAAAATAATAATAATTCTGTCATTCAACTTTCAGACGACTCTCAGTGTTGTTCATTTTGTTTTGAGTCAATCATTGTGTAATTAAACACGAACCCTACGGTTATTAGTTATTTAACCTATTCTAAAAGCCAGTGTGTGTGTGTCACGTCACACTTGATTTCTCGAAATAGGAGGAGTCATAAAAGCCAAAATTCATTTATCTAGATATAGCAGTTCGATTGTTGTCTGCACATTACGATTTTAGTAATGGGGGAACAAGGGGTGCGTGTAGTGAGTGTTGGTATAATAAGTCCAAAGTAACGACGTAGTGTGGAATCACCTAGCCTAGAGCTAAGTGCATATAATTTATCATGAAAGCGCAAATATCAATTCAATTTTAAATTTAAATTGTTTCTGAATTAAGCTCTTTCCTATTATAGCACCAACGTTTTTAATTAAAAACAAACCTCTTTAATCAACGAAGACTCTTAATTAAGAAATCAACAAATATTTTTCCTGTTTTGTTATTTATACATTTTATACTTTCAGTACATAGACTAACAACAATATTAGGTTATACTTTTGTTGCTAAGTAACACGACATGAAAGCAGTTGTTGGGACGTAGTGTTACCAAAACGCACTGGCTGTTCTATATATTAGAAGTTGTTAATCTAACTGATTTTTACTACTAATTATTCTATGAATACGTCACGAATTCATTTCATGA